AGTGAGTAAAAACTGTTCAAAGGTTCTGTCTATCCGAATATTTTCGGCTATTCAATTAACCATTATCAAGGATATTTTTTATTATTTTTAACTGAATAATGTAGCTCTTTATATATATATATATATGTATCTGTAGTAATGGGGATTTTTTAAATTTTCCAAACACGGTCAGCACGTTGTAGCCTTGTTCATAGTTGATTTATTATTATTATTAATGCTTATTTTATTTTTTCATTATTTATATATTTTCATTATTTTTAATATATATATATATATATATATATATATATATATATATATATATATATATATATATGATGATGATCTCTCCCGCCGATACGGCAGCCTCATTTTGTTTCTATGTTTGTGTCATATGACACTTCAGTCCCGCTAGTGACCTGACGCCAGAGGACTTGACGGAAGTAAATGTGTGAATCTGAGACGATAAAATCTGTCAAAAACCCGTATATATGATTTGATTATAGTGGGGAAGGCAACCATTCCCTGCTATCAGTATATATATATATATATATATATATATATATATATATATATATATATATATATATTATTATTATTATTATTATTATTATTATTATTTTATATGCGCAGTATTTATTGGGAAGAGATCAATATCAGCGATAGAGCTAACATTCAGTTGTATGGATATGAGTTTGTGAAACTTGGTTTCACGGTTTTTGCGATCATCAAACAAAATCTAGTTTGTCTGACGATCGCAATATATATATATATATATATATATATATATATATGTAGAAAGAGAGAAATAGAATTATATATATATATATATATATATAAGAGAGAGAGGAAGCGAGCGAGAGGGAGAGAGAGGAAGAGAGTGAGGGAGCGAGAGAGAGGGAGAGAGGAAGGAAGAGAGAGAGAGAAAAGACGGAGAGGGAGAGAGAGAGATTTCTGAAATGTTCCCAAATTCTGAAGAAATGACCAATATTACATAATGTATATATTGTTGTAATGACTTCTTATTCTGGCGAAGACCTTTTCACCACTCCAAATATATATATTATTTTTATTCTTAACAAACATTTACATGTCTAATACTGCCTTTTTCAACTAAAATTGTACATCTTGTATTCTTGCTTACTTTTATATACATATTTCTTCTTTGGTTCTCGATTCTCACGTTCACTGATTTCATTTTTTCTGCGTCTCGCATTTCCTGTTGTCTTTTCATTCTTCAATGTCACTTTATGTTTCACTTCTTATTTTCCCAATTTTTTTTTTCTTTTTTCTCATTTGATTTGCTCTCCTGTTTAATCCAAGATTTCGGTTATTTATTAACTGAATTTCTTTATATAATTTTACATGCATTATTTTTCAATCATTTATTCCTTTTTTTCTCTTCTTGACGACATGATTTCCCCCTTCTTTTTCCTTCTTTTGAATTGCGTTTTCATGTTTCTCTGCATTCTTTCTATTGGCTATTCTGTATTTTTTTTTCCAAGACCCGAAATAATTCTCTAATATCTCAGTATTTCTTTCTTTTTACTCTGTGTATTATAGTTCATTATAGAACAAACATTTATGAAAGCCTATCTATCTATCTATCTATCTATCTCAATCTGTTCATCTATATATCTATCTTTCTATCTCAATCTGTTCAGATATATATCTATCTTTCAGTCTGTTTCTATTATATGCCTGTCACTTCATATCTATCTATCTATCTATCTATCTATCTATCTATCTATCTATCTATCTATCTATCTGTTCACACACACACACACACAATATATATATATATATATATATATATATATATATATATATATATACATATATATATATATATATATATATTTCCGTCTGTTCATATTATGTCTGTTATATAATCTATCATATCAAATCTATCTATCTATCTGTTCATTATTTGTTCATTCATTATATATATATATATATATATATATATATATATATATATATATATATATATATATTCAGTCTGTTTATATTATGTCTCTGTCACTTCATAACTATCTATGTATCTCAATCTGTTCACGCACTCATCATATATATATATATTCCGTCTGTTCATATTATGTCTGTTATATCATATCTATCTATCTATCTATCTATCTATCTATCTATCTATCTATCTCTATCTATCCCAAATTCATCTTGTTCATTCATATATATATATATATATATATATATATATATATTCAGGCCCTCTTTTTATATTATGTGTCTGTCATGCTTCCTATCTATCTATCTATCTCTGCCCCATGCTATCTATCTATCTATCTATCTATCTCGATTCATGCATCTGAAGAAAAACACAACACTGTTATTTTCTATCTTTATCTATTTCTTTTCATTCATCTATCTATTAAATACATCTATAATGCTATCTATCATCTATCTCAATTCCTTTAAATCTATCTATCTATTCATCTATCTATCTATCTATCTATCTATCTATCTATCTATCTATCTATCTCAATTCCTTAAATCTATCTAACTATAATATCTATCATTCATTCATCTATCTATCTATCTATCTCATTTCTCTTAAATTTGGTCTATTTATCACAGGCTCTAATTTGGGACCAGAGAAAATCCATGAACATTTGCATTCTGTAATCCTTCCTTCTATGGCCCCCTAGGGTTTGTCTTATTTAGTATATTAATAGGCTTGATAAGAGAAACTTCTAACATGCTGTATCCGGGTGATATTTTGAAAATACAATCTCTCAAGAGAGTTGCGAATGCTATATCCGCCCCATGCTGATTGGTCATTTTGTTTAACATAGAGAAATCTTTCTCAGGTTCGATTCCATGCTGGGCTGAAGAAAACACAACACTGTTATTTCTAAATATTTTATCTAGTTTCTTTTACCGTATTAAACTAGTTTATTAAATACAAAATAGAAAATATAATGCATATATCAGAATATAATAAAACTGCCACAGCGAAAATGTCCTGTTGCTATTTGAATCCAAATCGTATTTCAGACTGTGAATGACTAAAACATTAAAAACACTTGAAAAGATGGCTCACTGGTTAACTTTTCGATGGCAAAAACTACAGTGATTCTTCCGTTTTTCTTTGTTCATTGTCATGTAATTTTACACTGTTTTTCTAAAAACAATAACAGAATAAATTCCTATAATATGCATCTATATATAACTATAATACATATATATATATATATATATGATATACGGATGTAAGAGACCCGGATATAAGAGAAACCCGGATATGAGAGAGATTTTATCTGGTCCCAAATTAGAGCCTGTGTTAATGTATATAAAATAGACCAAACCTGGATATAAGAGAAACCCGGATATAAGAGACTTCTTCTCCGGTCCCGACAACTCTCTTAGATCCGGGTTACACCGTATGAATTGAAAGGTCACTTTCTAACCACCAGGTGCAGATCAGCGCTTCATCCGATGTCAGTAGCCACCTCCGAAATGTAAACACGTGATTGAACCAGCTGAACATTTGATGTGAACGTGTGAAAGGAAACGCATCACTGTTAGATATATAAAGCGAGAGGGAAAAGATATACTGGATAATCCATCTCCTGGAGAGATGAAGTATCCAGTATATATAAAGCGAGAGGGAAAAGAAGATAATCTCTTATGTCCTGGGGAGATGGAGTATATCTGGTTCGGAGAAAACCACGAAGCCACACACCCACTAACTGACTGTAATTGCCAACGTTACAATGTTCTATATGAGAAATGCATTCTTATGTTTTTATTAGTCTTTAAATCTATATCTTTACAACTGGAGTAACATTTTACAATAGGAGTATATAGGTTGGCCTATCTTCCGGTTCACACTCCTACCCAGTATTTTGAGTAGGAGTAGAGGTTTATCGCTTGTTTCTTGTTTAGGATTGTTTTCCAGGATACTTCGAAAGTCTTTTTCATTCTCTTTCACTGCCAGTAGATCCTTAGTGGCAATATCACCTTGTTTGGATTGAACTGATTACCAAAAAACGCAAATTCCTTATTTATATTACCTTAGTTGAATAAATAATATAATTCTATATGAAAAATTCATTAGTGAAAAAATTAAAATATTATCAACTAATATAGACTAACGTGAAGAATCAATAGCGAACCCAACATTTATTCTAATGGCGATTCCATTTAATTACTCAGTGCGATTAGGATTTATTGTTACAGTCCGTTTGTCCAGTTGTGGTGCTAAATCACCGATAGTTGAAGAAGGAAATTACATAAATAAGAAACAGTCTGTTAGTAGTGAAAGAAAGAATTGAACCGTAATAGTTTGAACATAAGATAACATGAAGGGATGCACAACCCACTCCCCCCCCTCTATGGTACGTAGCCTATAAGTTTAAGCGCAGCAGTAGATTGGAGATAAGGTTCCGCCATTTTTACAGTTGAAATGAATAGAAATAAACGTAAGTTCTATGCTAACAGTTCCTTTGGCTCTTCTAGCCTGTGGAACACTCATCTAAATTTTTGCTTTTTATTCAACTTTGATCCTCAAAAATTTAAATGAAATATCAATCGTTACCTTCTGTCTTCTTTCATTGTTCATGCTCCTTAACACTTAACTACGGAGATGTTCGTTTTTCTTATCTTACTCCAGCTGGCTAAGTACGGAAACCTACGCTTTTTGCATACCGCTGTTATGAGTGTCCCATTGCGCCATCTATCGTAAAATCCCAAAGGACAATGCTTCAAAAGATATCATGTGTATACCCATTACTAATCTGGTAAGTCATTCCCAGGTATATCCATGAAAATGGAATGCTGTAAAACACACTGGTGCCAGTTTTCTGTGTAATAAAATATGGAGGTTGAAATTTGGCATTTTCTTTAAAAATGGCTGGCCGGATGGGGGCAGCACTGGGCAAATGAGTAGCAGTGAAAGTGTTAATAATATGTGTTAGCGGCCTTTTTGCCTTGTTTGTGATTAAAAAATTATAAAAACTTAGAGAGTCTTACTTATAGACTTTAAAAATGGATTTTATTTTCTTTGAGCGATATTAAAGTCAGTTTGCTATATAAATATATGGTAAATATAGAAGACAATTTCAGAAACATCTCTTCTCACATGTTTCGCCGAAGATGAAAAAAAAAATTATTTCAACAAAATATAAATTAGTGTGTTGTTTCTCTAATGTATATTTTGTTGAAATAAATTTCTGTTTCTGATGATTCCTGGTTCATTTAAACAGCATGTCAAAATAAAAGTTGTCCATATTGTCTCATATTTATTGGATATTTACTGCAGCAGTTTATGTAAAAAAAAAAAACGGATATAAATTAAGCAGTTAGCGAGATTTGGATACGAATCCGATACACAATTTAGAACACTTCTATTATGACAAGTTCCAGTGATGAATCGGCAAGATCAGTCAAGAAACTAAACGTGATTCACAATATGAACTTTCATTAAGATTATCGATTTACAAATTAGTATTTTATTTTTTCAACTCACTTTTACTTTTAATACTTCTATTTATAAATTTATTTATTTTTAAGATTTTTCGGATTCTACATTATTTCAGTAAGAACAGGTGATAAAGTGAAATAACGTAGACAATGACAATTCAATGGATCTACGTCTGAATAAATTGTTTTTTTTTATTATTAAAATGTGCACTTTCCACTCTCGACATAGTTCAAAAGCGTCTCCGAATCCTTGTGGGTGATGAATTATTTTCCACCCTCCAAAATTTCTCTCATAGTCGGGATAGGACAAGCCTCCCGCTGACTAATCGCTACTTTCACGGAAAGTGCTTGAAAGGACAATATTCCTTGGTTCCGCCAAGCAAAACCTCCACGGCAAGGACCCGCCATGACACTTTCGTTGTAGCAAACCATCCACATTTCCTCCGTATTCCATCGATGAGTATTAAGTTCCACACGAACCATTCACATTTCTACTCACGAAATGCCGCCATGACACCATACGTTGTAGCAAACCATCAACATTTCCTCCCCATATTCCATCGATGAGTATTAAGTTCCACTTTGAACAGCATCTTCTCGAACAGCATCTTCTCCCTATTCGATGAAAAGCCACCAACAACATCTTCGCGAAATGACACAAACCATTACGTTGTAGCAAACCATCAACATTTCCTCCGTATTCCATCGATGAGTATTAAGTTCCACACTCGAACAACATCTCGCGAAAATGCAACCATGACACTTACGTTGTAGCAAACCATCTACATTTCCTCCGTATTCCATCGATGAGTATTAAGTTCCACTCGAACAGTTTCTTCTCGCGAAATGCCGCCATGACACTTACGTTGTAGCAAACCATCAACATTTCCTCCGTATTCCATCGATGAGTATTAGGTTCCACTCGAACAGTTTCTTCTCGGGAAATGCCGCCATGACACTTTTCACGTTGTAGCAAACCATCAACATTTCCTCCCTATTCCATCGATGAGTATTAAGTTCCACTCGAACAGTTTCTTACCGCGAAATGCCGCCATGACACTTACGTTGTAGCAAACCATCAACATTTCCTCCGTATTCCATCGATGAGTATTAAGTTCCACTCGAACAGCATCTTCTCGCGAAATGCCACCATGACACTTACGTTGTAGCAAACCATCAACATTTCCTCCCTATTCCATCGATGAGTATTAAGTTCCACTCGAACAGCATCTTCTCGCGAAATGCCACCATGACACTTACGTTGTAGCAAACCATCAACATTTCCTCCGTATTCCATCGATGAGTATTAAGTTCCACTCGAACAGTTTCTTCTCGCGAAATGCCGCCATGACACTTACGTTGTAGCAAACCATCCACATTTCCTCCCTATTCCATCGATGAGTATTAAGTTCCACTCGAACAGCATCTTCTCGCGAAATGCCACCATGACACTTACGTTCAACAGCGATGAGTATTAAGTTCCATCAACAGCATCCTCCGAAATGCCACCGGCGACACTCCAAACAATCGATTCCATCGATGAGTATTAAGTTCCACTCGAACGGTTTCTTCTCGCGAAATGCCGCCATGACACTTACGTTGTAGCAAAACCATCAACATTTCCCCGCATTCCATCGATTCCATCGATGAACAGTATTAAGTTCGCGAAATGCCGCCATGACACTTACGTTGTAGCAAACCAGCATTTCCTCCGTATTTCCATCGATGAGTATTAAGAAACAGTTCATCTTCCACCCATCCATGACACTTACGTTGTAGCAAACCATCAACATTTCCTCCCTATTCCATCGATGAGTATTAAGTTCCACTCGAACAGCATCTTCTCGCGAAATGCCAAATGACACTTACGTTGTAGCAAAACCATCCACATTTCCTCCCTATTCCATCGATGAACAGCATCTTCTATTAAAATTCCACAAACCATAGAACGATGCATCTTCTCGCGAAATGCCACCTTGACACTTACGTTGTAGCAAACCATCAACATTTCCTCCGTATTCCATCGATGAGTATTAAGTTCCACTCGAACAGTTTCTTCTCGCGAAATGCCGCCATGAC